TATTAAAATGGTAAAATAATTCTTGTTACATTAACACCAGGGCCCAGGGAGATGATTCAAATAGCAGAACACATGCCAAGCATGTGTATGAGCCTATGTTTAATAGCATGCCCCAGACATTATCAGCACATGAGCCCTGGTAACTCCCAAATACCAAATTTCAGGATGACACTTGTACACTGTGCATTGCGGGGAGTGACCCTGGGTCCCTGGCCTCTGATGGTGGCTATGTCCCTGTAGTAAAGTAATCTAAAAATATAATCACTATTTATTACATTATCATTTCTCAAACTATGTTCAAAACATCATAGAGGCAGACAGGATGAAACGGTTCCTTCTTTCTTTGTTACATTATAAGTGCTTCTAAAAGAGGTTTCACGGGACTGGAGCAATAGCCTAGTGGGTAGGGCATTTGCCTTGCATGTGGCCGACCCAGGTTCAATTCCCAGCATCCCATATGGTCCCCTGAGTACTGCGAGGAGTAATTCCTGAGTGCATGAGCCAGGAGTAACCCCTGTGCATCGCCGGGTGTGACCCAAAAAGCAAAAAATAAATAAATAAATATGTAAATAAATAAAAGAAGTTTCACTTAAAGTAAACTCACAAGAATCAAGGACTTATGGGCAGAGGGCATTCCAGGAAAACAAAAGCCCACGAACAGAAAACCAGAAGTGTGAACAGCGAGAGGTCCTAGTAGAGGAAGAAGAAGCTAAAAACGAAGGACTTTGAAGTCAGTATACCAAAGAATCTTGAGTTAATGTGGTAGGCCATTGGGATCCATTAAAGGTTTTAGAAAAACGTACCTACACAATTCCATCTACTTTTTCTAAAGATGAATGCTGGCAACACCACTGTAGAGAGCAGATGCAACTTAAAAGCACACATGTACACAATAACCTCTGAAAAGAAGCATTCTTTGACTCATCGCAATAATCCCTCCACTTCCAAATGTGCTTTTACTTAGCTGCTGAAATCATCATAATCTTGTAAAAGTGGAGCTCGTGTAGCAAAGACAGATGGCTCACCACTGAGGGGCTCAGTCCGGGCTCCAACATCACTTGAAGAACATTCACCTCAAGCTTCAGCTGACGATGTACAACTCATCCTTCCATACCTTTCCCTAACCACAACTAATCCCGTTGGTCAGGGTTTTCAAAGTAAGCAGTCATCATTTGGACTTCAGGGTTGTTTCTTTTTCCAGAATCAATGTCTCAAGCTTTTGTTACATCAAAACCAGGTGAATCCCTGGTGAGTGGCTAACGCTTGGTGCACCTTTTGCATCTGGCTTTCCCAAAACACTCAGCTGTATCCCGAATGGCAACTGGAGAAAAGGAAGGAATCAGCAGCATTCAGTAGAGTCAAGTCATGGGAAAAGAACCCTCACCAACATCCAAGTTGCCAGGAAGCACACAGAGTCACCACAGGTGACTCTGGCGTGTGTCTAAGAGCAAGGACCAAGTGCTGTGAGCTTTGCAGGAACATGCCGTTTACAGCCTAGAGAAACCAACCTGGATTCGAATCCTCAGAAAGAAAATACACTTCAGTGGGCCAGTAGGTCACTGCAAAGTTGCTCAGCGTAGGAAACACCAAGTAAACTCTGGCCAAGCAGCCAAGCCCAGGCTGCACATTCCAGGCCCTTCTGCCCCGCCCCCACTGCCCTTAACCCCCACCCTTCACCAGGAGTCTAATATCACACCATAAATAAAGCCATGACTGATGAGAACTCAGTCTATCCTAGGCAAAAGCCAAAAGAATTTCCCAGGGAACGCCAGCCCACTTTTCACTTGACACTTAAATCCACCTTCTGGTCCGTTTGTTTTGCTGTATTTCCTGCAGAACTTATTTTTCCCACTTATCATCATCAGGCTTGTCATTTCAAAACAGTTCATACATAGGCCAAACATGATTGCCACTCAATGCCTCTCTTGCAAACCACAGCACCCAAAAGGAGAGAGAGAGAACAAAAGGAAATGCCCTGCCACAGAGGCAGGGTGGGATTGGAGGGGGGAGGGATACTGGGACCCGTGGTGGTGGAAAATGGGCACTGGTGGAGGGATGGGTACTTGATCATTGTATAACTGAAACCCAAGCACAAAAATTTGTAAGTCTGTAACTGTACCTCACGGTGTTTCACTAAAAAAAAAAAAAAAAAAAAAAAAAAACAACAACAACAACAAAAAACCACAGCAAACATGGGAAAAAAAAAAACGGTTCATACTCATAGTATGGACTGTCCAGAAGAGCACTGCTGAGAAAGAAACCACTCCCCTTCCAAGTCCAACCCCCTGGGACTAATCAAACCAAATAATATAGGTGAAAGCCAAGGACAGGTTGCATTTCAACAGCCTTTCAGCTTGTAGAAATAACTACAGGTTCCTTTTCTCATGCTAATTGTGCATTCCTTCCACCTATTTCAAACTAAACTCCAAATCTGAATAATTTACAACACACTTCTTTTTAAAAAGACAGAGAAAATACTCCCTGTGAGTGGTCAGGGGAGGTTATTTAGTTTAAGGTTTTGTCAATATCTCTGTTCTCCGAAGGCTTAAGGTGAATTCTCTGACAATTCTCAGGAATAGCGCCAAAGAACAGAGTCCTTGTCAGGCCCCTGGAAAATCAGGTAATCAGGGAAGACAAAAAGGACAATTATATTACTGAGCTCTCTTTGAAGCTGAACTATGACCAAGAAGTATTAATCCATTTAAAGAGAGAGATCTTAAGTTTCATGTTGCTCTATACTTGTTCTCTGCTTTTTTTTTCCCCCTAATGTATTAATTCTGGGTTTTCTATGTCTTATGATTCCCAGTTTAATACCAACAGCCATTAATACCATTAATACCCTTAATTAATACCCTTAAGGACTAGTTTTGGAGTTCTAGTTATAATTAGAATCAGGGGACAGACTGTTTGCAGTAATCTGTCTGTCCATCTTCTTGGTAATTGAGTAAAACATTCACCTCTACTGTAAATATCCTTGGATTTCAATTAATTTGCTTGAGTAAGCACAGCAATACATATTGTTTTACTTATAGCTTAGCAAACCTGTTACAACTTTTATAGCTTAAATACCCAGTAAGATTTGCTTCTTAAGAAAGAGTAACTGTTTAGAAACAGATAAAACTATGATGTCTGGCTAGGTAAAAAAAAAAAAAAAAAGTAATAAGCCAGGTTTAGTCTGAGTGGTGATCTTTAAGATGGAAAAGGGGAAAAGAAGTAATATAAAAGAAATGATGGTGAAAACAGAAATTGCTCTGATATGATATTTTCATTAAAATTAATTATAGTGGACTAGTAAGGAGTCCCAGTTGCCCAATAGACTCCTCATTGGGCAACTTTAACATGTGTAAGTAATCCAAAGTCACATTATCTCCCCTTCTGTTTAGAGATTTAAAAAAGAAATGCAGTCTAAAGTATTTTTTAATAAAGAAGACCACATTACACATAAGTCTTCAAGGGACATATACCTTCTCAAATACTGGCTCCCCCCCCCCCCCAATGGGAATGTGGCTCCGTGGTTGAGCACTTTTTTTTGCTGTATGACATCCTGGGTTCGAATCCCTATACACCTGATCCTTGGAAACCCCCACCGAGAACCCCCAGCAGTCCTACCCCCTTGATGATCCTGGGGGAGCCCCTGAACACTTCAGGGGATGCACCCAGGCCCCTAGCCCTAAAGGAACTTCCCTTCAAATTCAAGACTTTCTCTTAAAATTCACCATACACTCAAATGCTTTATAAAAAAAAAGAGTTTATTTTAAAAGTACTATTATTATGCAATTAAAAAGTGCTTATTAAGCCAAATGCTGCGTGTCTGTTATTTAGAATATTCGCTTACTCTTAGACACTCACAGAAAGAAGCCAGGAGGAAGAGGGAGGGCAGATAGTAGGCAATGGAAGTGAACCACATCGAGTTTCTATTAATTCCTGCTATTTTTAAGCCCTGAAACACACTCCCAGCTTGAGCTGTTTATATCCTTTTAAAAATAAAAGAGCTCTGCTTACCATCACCCCCCCCCCACACACACACACACACACACTCACACAACTCGCATACCAGATGCACTCACACACCCACGCACATAAACATATACACTAACACAAATACACTCGCACATGAACTTACACGAGTGCACAAATTCACAGACCCTCACACAAACACACACACACACACACACAGGCACGCACTCATTCACACTCCCCCATGTTCGTTCACACACACATACTCACATAAGCACACACAAACACCCTCACAGGCATGCAGACACTCCGTCACACAGACACACTCGTGTGTATGTCCACTTGCTCTCACACCAACTCACATGCACTCACATGTGTACACACACTAACACACACTCACAGTAAAACAGCACAGCAGCACTCACACACTGGAACACACTCATGCACTCACACACACACACATGCATACTCACTCAGCAGCACAGCACACATGCACTGGCGCACACACACTCACCAACACATGCCTGCTCACGGACCAACACACTACACACACACTCACACATGCAAATCCACACATGCAAAGTAACACATGCAGACTGGCACACCACGGCACACTCAGACGCGCGCACACACACACAGGCGCGCACACCTGGCTGCACACTCCCCAACACACACACACACACAGGCGCGCACACGCTCGCCCACTCAGCCGCACACTCACCAACACATGCACACACACACGCACCGACACGGCACTCAGACGCACACACGCAAACTCGCACACGCATTTGCACACACACACACACACGGCCGCACACTCCCCAAAACACACGCGCGCGCGCACTTAGCCGCGTATTCCCCAAACACACACGCGCGCACACACACACGCAAACACACGCGCGCGCTCAAACTCGGCCGCACACTCACCAAAACACACGCACGCACAAACACACACACATATATACACACACGCGCGCGCGCGCACTCGGCCGCGCCCCCCGCAGCACCCGCGCCCCCGGCGCGCGCCGACCCCCGTCACCTACCGGCTGCGCGCGCGGCCGCCGCGGGTCCGGGTCCCGAGCCCGGGAGCCGAGTCGGGGTGCGGGGACCCTCGGGGCCGCCTGCTCCGGGGCTGCGCCCGCCCGCCCAGCCGCCCGCGCGCCCCGGGACTCCCCGAAGTTGGGCAGAGGCGGCGCCGACATGCAAATGCGCGGGAGGCCGCGCCCCGCCGCCTCGGGTTTCAGCGCGGCCCGCGGCCCCCGAGCCCCCCGCCCCAGCGCCCCGACGTCCCCCGCCACCGCTCGCCGCGCCCGGGCCCGGGAGTCCCACATGCCCGCGGCGACGCCCAGACCCCCCGGGCCCGGGCGCACGAGGGTGGGTGGGGGACCCCTTGTCTCCCGGGGGAACTCCGGATCTCCGGGCCAACCTCGCACAGCAGCGCGCCAGCCTGGCCCGCGATGTAAAATGCCATTTCTCCCAGCACAATTACTCAAGAAAAAGCTGCATTCCTAGAAATGCTGGTTCAGGAGGAAGCCCCGCGAGTCAGATCCTCGGGGGTAAGAACTCAAAGTCTAATTACTCCTTTATCGTGGTTGAAGGGCTCTCAGAACTACACAATATGAAACGGACAGAATAGAAGGTATTTTGGTGTCAAAGCCCCTTTCCTTACCATCACTGCACACACACACACAAACACACACACACACACACACACACACACGCTTGCATGCACACATACAAGGTCTGTTTCAAATCGAGATCTTGCAGGACCAGAATCGCAAATCATATTATCTCAGGACCTTAGAAAGATCTATACTTTGGGTGGGTAGAAGTCACCACCAGACTTCTTTATAACGTAAGAGTGTCCTCATTAGGGACCGCCATATGGAGAGAGCACATTCGACTGTGTGCCAAAAATATAATTCTATGTGGACACTGCTACGTTTCTTTTCCTTTATTCCCAGTCTCCCGTCTCTTGAAGTTTTTCTTCCAGTTGATCTGCTCCACCCATAAATAATGTTCCACTAGCAAGTTCTGCCTGGAGCCTTTTAATGAGTCAAATAAAATCGGTAGGGAGGGGGTCCTTTGTCATTTCCTTTTTAAATTACTAGCCGGAAGCAATGTAACTTGTTTTCTAATTGGTAGTGGTATATGAACTTTGGTATATGAATATGGTCCCAAGGCCCTGCTGGGACCACTCTCCACACACTTGGATGAGCCTCACACATAAAAGAACTGGCAGAGGACCCCAGATGTGTGGGACCCGGGGCTAAGATCTCCAAGCCTGCAAGGTTTGGGACTGGACCTGTCAGTAGCTAGACAGTTACACCCACCAACTGCCGTGTAACCCCAACAACAGCCAGGATCCAGAGATTATCACACCAAGCTCCCGGGAGAGCACAAGGCAGAGTCTCCTACCCTGTGCCTGACTATCCTCACCAGGGCCCAACAGCTGAAGACCTCCAGGCCCCAGCCAAGGCCATGCTGGGACCACTCTCCACACACTTGGATGAGTGAGACTCACACATAAAAGAACTGGCATAGGAACCCAGGTGTGTGGGACCCGGGGCTGAGATCTCCAAGCCTGCACGGTTTGGGACTGGACCTGTCAGTAGCTAAACAGTTACACCCACCAACTGCCGTGTAACCCCAACAACGGCCAGGATCCAGAGATTATCACACCAAGCTCCCAGGAGCACGGGGCCGCATTCGCGGCCGCAGGACTTTTTATTTCTCTAAGTTTTCAGGGTACCTTAAATATCCAACCCACACGGCAGAGCCTGGCAAGCTATCCGTGGTCCATGCCAAATAGACCAAATTGATATGCCAAATCCAGTAAAAAGAAAAAATGGATCTCATTCCCCTGACCCTGAATACGGCAGAGTCAAGAAGGATATGGAAGGAGAGGCTGATAAAATCCCAAGGCAGAAATAGGCTGCCAAAACGAAGAAAGACAAAAATGGTTGTCTGTACTTTTAATGCTCATACACTGGCATCTGATGCATCCATTGAGGACCTGATGGTACAAGCGCGAAAGATCAAGTACGACATCATTTCTGACCGAAACGAGAAGACATCAATCACATCACGCCGTTTTTGACATTGGAGAAGAACTGTTCCTTGGAACATGTGATAAAAGAGGCATCGGTGGTGTCAGTATCCTTGTCAACACAAACTTAGCCATGAGCATTGATTCATTCGAATGCCTAACAGCCGAATTGGATGATTACTCTTGAATAGATGTGGCTCACTGCTGGCAGTTTCTATCTTTGTTGTCTATGCACCAACATCCAGTTATGGTGAAAGAGAAATTGAGAAGTTCTATATGGAGCTGGAGAAGTTCTATGAAGAAGATCACACCTTCTACAAGATCATTGTCGGTGATATTAATGCCAAGATAGGACCAAGAAGATCAGCCAATGAACTCCACATCGGGACCCATGGCCTAGAATGGAACGAACAGGGTAACAGACTGTCTGAGTTCATCATGTCAACCTTCCATGGTAACTCACAGTTCCAAAAGACTGAATCTAAACGTTGGACATGGGTGTCTCCCTGTGGATGGTTCCACAATGAAATAGACCACATCATATTCAATCAACGGTTTTGCCTAACTGATGTTGCTGTTGTCCCAAAATTCCAAATGGGATCAGACCACCGTCTCCTTCGTGCAAAATTCTACCTCACAGAACGAGGAGAAAAGAATGTGAAGTTTAAGAGAGAACTCCCAGAACGACCACCAACTGGGAGCTCTTTGGCTCTGTTGCGGCAACATGGGAAGATGCCGTCATTGACAACATTGATGAGGAATACGATCGAATGATTCAGCACCTCCATGATTGTGCGAGGAATGCCAAGAGAGAGAGAACCACAAAAAACCGCCTTTCTTCAAACACTGTTGAACTTATTCGCCAACGTGGCTTGGCACATGCCTCAGGCAACCTCAAGAGAACATCCGAGCTGGCAAAACAATGAAGAGAAGCCATCAAGGATGACCTCAAAAACAGGAGAGCGGCAGTGCTGGTAGATGCGGCAGAAGCTGGGAAAAGCATTCGTAATGCCCGCCTGTCCTTCACCAACTACAAGACCAAGATGACTGCCCTCCAACATCATGATGGATCTATCACATCTTCCAGAAGGGCAATGGGGAAGATTATTCATGACTTCTACTCAGATCTCTTTAATAGCCACGTCCACTTGCCCACATACCACATTCCACATGATGGATATGTTGTTCCCAATGTTCTCCCTTCCGAAATCCAACATGCCATCTCGTCGGTAAAGAAACAAAGAACACCTGGCACAGACAAGATCAGACCTGAACACCTGAAGAACTTACCATCAGTACTCATCAATACACTGGCTCGGCTCTTCACACGCTACCTGTCTGAATGCAAGGTTCCATCCCAATGGAAAACCAGCAGGACTGTACAAGAAGGGAGACATCCACGACATTGGCAACTATCGCCCAATCTGCCAATTGTCTGTCATCTACAAACTGTTCACTAGAGTCATCCTGAATAGGATTAGCAGAACACTAGATGGAGGACAACCATGTGAACAAGCCGGATTCCGAAAAGGATTCAGTACCATGGACCATATCCACATGATTACTAAGCTCATTGAGGTTTCTCAGGAGTTCAAGATGCCGCTCTGTCTAACGTTCATTGATTTAAAGAAGGCCTTTCATTCTGTTGAGACGGAAGCAGTCATAGAAGCCCTAGCCAATCAGGGCATACAAACTAAATACATCAGGATCCTTCGTGAGCTCTATTACAGATTCACTACCAGGATCTCACCATTCTACAAAGAAGTAATCATCCATGTCAAGAGAGAGTTTCAGCAGAGTGATACCATTTCACCAAAACTCTTCAGTGCCACCCTTGAGAACATCATGTGACAACTGGAATGGGAAAGCATAGGAGTGAAGATAGATGGTCGGCAACTACACCACCTCCGCTTTGCTGATGACATCGTTCTAATAACACCAAACATCAGCCAAGCGGCACAAATGCTGACTGACTTCGACCGTGAATGTGGAAAGGTCGGACTACAGCTGAATCTTGCGAAGACAATGTTTATGAGAAACAGCCTTGTTCCTGACGCTCCATTTGTTCTCAACGGAACCACCATCTCCGAATGCAACAGTTATATATACCTAGGTCAAGAAATCAACATGATGAATGACCTGGCACCTGAGTTGCGCAGGAGGAAGAGAGTGGCTTGGAATGCCTTCAAGAACGTTGAAGAAATAACTAAAAGGACAAAGAACCTCCAGCTATGAGCACATCTCTTTGATTCCACTGTTCTTCCTGCATTAACATATGCCTCAGAGACCTGGACCCTACGAAAACAGGATGAGAATGCTATTCGGGTCTCTCAAAGAGGAATCGAAAGAGCTATGCTTGGAATATCACGATTCACTCAAATGAGAGATAGAATCCGGAGTTCTGATCTTCGTCAACACTCAAGAATCAGGGACACTGTCTCATTTGCCAAGACATCAAAAATCAGATGGGCTGGACACGTAATGAGGTTTACAGATAACCACTGGACTAGAGCCATTACTAATAGGATTCCACGGGACATCAAAAGATCACGTGGACGCCCACCTACAAGATGGTCAGACTTCTTCGTCAAGACCCTGAATGATCGGTTTGAGGCTCTGCATGTTCCTAGAACGAACAGATACCATTGGGCTACGCTAGCACGCAACCGGGATGAATGGAGACGTTACTGGCACCCGCTCGAGTAAATCGATAAATAACGGGGATTAAGTGATTAAGTGATAAGTGATATGAACTTTATCAACTACTGTGGCTTTTTACCCTACCCTGGTAGATAAATGTTAAAGTAATTTTTAGAAGAAAGCTGGGGGAAATAAAAACCCAATAACAACAAATTTAACCAAAATGAAACCTGCATCCACCTGATTGATGGGCCTCAAAAGTCTCAGGAAGGCAAATGTCAGTAGGTATAATTCAACACTGTGACATTTAAGACAAAGAACTTCTCATGTCAATAACCTGTTTCGGATCTTACAATTACCACAAGCAATTCAGACTTAAGACATTACAAAATGAACTTGGGAGGTGGGTACTGGGTATTTCTCACTTCAAAGACTGAGAGGCTTCTCTCTGTG